GTCGCCCCTTACTTGCTTATTCGCAACCCGAGAATAACTGATTTGGGTTGGCAAAAATGCTTGGGCTTGGATGGTAGTAGGGTCCTTCACAAAGATTGCTACATGGTCCAACTTCTGTTCAACCTTTTGTGCCATCAAGCCCAACTTACTATCTCCCAGGAGGGATTATGGAATACTGAGAGGTTAGGGATCTTACTAACTATCCTTTTTCAACCTTGTTCAAGTTTGTCGAGCCACATATGAATTCGAAAATTTAGAGGATGAATTTTGACCTAATTCTGTCACGCGTTGAAAATCATGTGATGCAAAAGCGGATGCATCGCCCATGCACGCACAAGAGCTATATTACCTCTGAACTCTGAGATGGGTGATACTATTAAATCTTGACGGTATAATTTTCATAAAGAGGATTCATAGGTGGGATTAAATCAATTATAGACAGATCAATATTTAATGCCCTTTCATATTAATTAGTCTTTGTCATATGATACTGGGCTTCTTCCTGAAGATCTAGTCCTCATCCCAAAGGCCTACCTGGTTTGTGTGGTCTAGGCCTATTTTCATTTTCATTAGTTTGTACCTAGTGAAACATATAGGTGGTTATCAGTTAGTCAAATGACCACCACCTATGTTATTGGATTTTAAGGTTGTGGGTTCAAACCTCGTAATTCCCCTCTTTTGTAATAGTGTCTAACCCCCCCCCCAAAAAAAAAAAAAAAAAAAAAACATTTTGTAATTTTTTTCCTTTTGTTTTTTGGTATTCATATGTATATGTTATTATTAATGACAAGGTTTTAGTAAGAATTTTGGCAATTTGATTTGATGACACGAGAGTGGTGCAATGATTATTAGGACCTCATGTCATTTGCAATAGCCTGAAAGTTGGTTTAAAGTTCAATGATTTATTTTGGGGCACATTTTTGTGACAACCTTTACAGAGTTGGAGAGAAAAATAAGTTGCAACTAAAATCACTTGTGCAATTCCTTTATAACCATAACACTAAAAAAATAAAAATAATTGTTGTGCTGAAACACTTACTAGAATTGTTGAGACCAGGGGTGGAGTCAAAATTTTTTTTTAGGGTAAGCACACTCTAACTACAAGTTTTAATTTCGATGTATTTCATTTCGGAAAGTATATTTGGGGTGCAGAAGGAGAAGATTTGGGGACAACGATTCAACTTGATTTGGAAAAGGATATAATTTGGTGAGAGTTTTACCAAGTAATTATAGGTGCGAATGATGGTAATAAAATTTGAAACTTTTGTGGGTTGGAAAAATTTTCAGGACTCATTTTGATTTGTTGGATTAAATAAATATGAAAATGATTTGAACCGTTTTTTTTATGTTGGGGTAATGTAGTCTGTCAGATATATCTTTGTTTTGTCTTGAAACTCTTTATCTTTAGAATTCAAAACTCCGCCTACTTTATTATATAGTCTAAGAATTGTTTGTACATAGAGGTACTATGTAACGAACAAAAAAAGCTCAATTAGAAGGCTTATCAATTAAAAAGACCACTACAAAAACAACATATGAAGCATTTAAGGTGGATAACAAATATATTTAAACTGACAATCAATTACTTTCCTATTGAAATGAATGTATCACCATGTCCTCTAGAAGGGTAGTATATTTTTTTGATTAGTAACAGACGATATAATCATTTTATTAAGCAGGAAAATTTTGATTACAATTAGACAAAAGGAAAGTCATAAACTCGAGGGGGGGACCCTAACCAACTCGCCGGAAGGGAGTTGGTTAGTATATTGGCCGCCACCCAATGAGCAGCCTTGTTAAGAGCCTTAGGCTTGTGTAAAAAGCTTAAGTTATAAGTCCTAGCATAAAATCTAATATCTTTAATGATTACTCTAATATCCCATGGGGGCTCATCTTCATTTGAGCTGAGCTTAATAACATTGAGGCAGTCACTTTGGATAGCTCCAGAACTCTTAGTGCTTGTTTGCACTATTTTCTAGAACTATAAGGACTTCAACTTAGATAAGTTATAATACATATTAGACCAATGAAAAAAATTAGTTATACATTATGAATCCATAAAAAAAAAAGGAGAAATCAATTAGAGTTATCTTTAGATTAAGGATAATATTGATTTTATATTATTGTTAAATCATAGTTACGAAATTATAATATAGACTTTATTAAATTGTGCTGGGATAAAATTAGAAAATAAATTTTTATTTTTAAGTAGTTACTTTTATGAATTATATATTGGTAATCATTGAATTTATAGGGTTCTTCAAGAGTTCATACAATGTCAAATTTTTATGATTTAAGTCACAAGTGTTCATATATTTATTTAAGAACAAAATAGAAAATCAAAAGTTTTAAATGAAATTATTAGAGTGAGGTATAATTATCCTTATAAATTTTTTTAAGGGTAAAAGAGGAATTCAAAAGTTTTTCATCTAAGATACTTTTATTAGTAGTATAAATAAATATAAATTTTAGTGATACAAGGCTATTTTTAAATTAAAAAAAATTTAGTAAGACAACTATGGTTACTTAATTTGAGATAGTGCATTACTTCTAATGGCTTCAAAATTAACTTATAGAAATGTAAAGTTATTATTCATACCTATTATATAATAGAAAATTGATTTTAATAATAAGATTGCAAAGTGATAACACATATAATATAAACATTGGATGTAATAAAAAAATTAAGTTGAATTATAGGGCCTTAAATTTTTTTAAAGAGGTTCTAAAATTTTTACTATAATACTACTTGTACTTAATTTGAAGATCAAATACATTTGATAAATAGTGAATTTTGTTTAAAACTAGCACTTACTTGGCATTGAATATTTAAGTTATATCCTAAAATTTAGATTGTATACCATTGTTAAAATTTGGGTAAATTGTAAGGGGTACACCAAATTAGATTTATTTGGCCAAAAATACACACTAAAAAATGTAGGGTTATTAAGTCCTTAATTTTGATACTTTTTTGTATCTAAGTACACAATTTGAATTTTTGCCTAATTTTTTTTGTGACATTTATATATATATATATATATAAACAAATGCACATGAATCAAAGTGCATTAAATACTAAAGTTCTCCCATAAAACTAAGAGATATTTAATGTACCACTTTTCCTAAAATGGACATTTATGTTTTTGTATCTAACTAGTGTACTTTTTTTCAAAATATTTTTTAATATGTATTTTTTGTCAAATAAATCTAATTAAGTATACCGACTTTCAAAAATCCCTTAAAATTTTTATTTTGTGGGCCCTTGGCAATGGCCTGGCCTATAGTTTGGGCCCGTATTGGGTGGGACGGCAGTAGGAGGTTTTGGTAGTAGTGGAGGTGGTGTTGGGTGATGGTGGTGGTAGTAGCCAATGGCTATGGTGGCGAAGTTTGGTTGTTGTGGCAAGTGGTGGTGGTAGTGGTTGCCAATGGGAATGGTACAGTAGTGAAGTTGGTTGTGGTGGTGGGTAGTGATTACTGTGAAAATGAGAAATTTTTTCTGTAGAAGTTTTTTTTTTCAGAAGTAGAAAGTTACTTATTTTTTTGTTTTAAAAATTATTTAAGTAGTAAAATTATTTTTAACTTGTTTTAAAGTAATTTAAATAAATAATTCCAAACTACACCTTAAGGCTTAAACCATCTCAAACAATCCCGTAATGGAAGTATCCACATACTTTTTACGCCTACCTATCTTTTGGTCAAATGGTACTATTTATGTTGTGAAAATTTTATCTTCTTGAGATCAATAGTTCAAATTCTCTCAAAAAAAAAAAATTTACGATGCCTCTTGAACTAGATATAGACTAGGTGTGTTCTAATTGTTTAATTATCTAGATTAAAAGAAAATTTGAACATAACACTTCCTATTCTGATATCATGTAAACCATCAATTACTGTACAAAATTACAATATTAAAATAATCATAAGACGATGCAAAAAATAGAGAAACATGTGAATAAATGAGTTGAGTGTGAGTGTGTGAGAAAGACTACTAGTAATAAGAACACAGAATTAAGTGGTTTATCAAGCTGAAAAATTAGGTTAATCAACTCTAATAGAGTTTCTTGTTCTCTTTGACTTGTATTACATGGAGAAAAAAGTTACAACTTTTTGTGTATACAATTGTTCATTGGTCTTAACGAGGCAAGAGTTTACTTATATATACACTAGAGTAGTGTGGTCGTCAAGTAATGATGGGATGATCTCTAGTTTGTTAGAATTTTGGGAAAGAATATTTGATTGTTAGATACTACATTTCCTAAGTATGACGTGATATTTTAGAATCTGATGACGTGGTTCTTTGGAGATGGAATTTCCTCATCCATGGTCGGAATGGATAGTGTAANGGTCGTCAAGTAATGATGGGATGATCTCTAGTTTGTTAGAATTTTGGGAAAGAATAATTGATTGTTAGATACTACATTTCCTAAGTATGACGTGATATTTTAGAATATGATGACGTGGTTCTTTGGAGATGGAATTTCCTCATCCATGGTCGGAATGGATAGTGTGATTCCTTTTGTGTCCTTCCGAAAGTTCATTGGGCTGCTTCTAATGATCTTTCTATAATGGGCCAACCTAGCCTAGTAGTAGTGAACCCCTTCTGGTTACTCGGTTGGGTTTACCCTTGGGGCATTTGTTCCAGATAAGCTAGGCCTGCTCAATCCTATTTGGGATGGGCTGGCTATTTCATCATACTCATCAGACAGTATTCCGAAAACAGTGTAGCATTGCNGTTTACCCTTGGGGCATTTGTTCCAGATAAGCTAGGCCTGCTCAATCCTATTTGGGCTGGGCTGGCTATTTCATCATACTCATCAGACAGTATTCCGAAAACAGTGTAGCATTGCTGATTTTATAATCCATATGGTGATAGTCTAACGGACAAGTGGTCTATATGGTTCATAAGCTATATATGTTTTTAGTGTAGGTTTGATTCTAACTAATCATTTTGTGAAAGTGCAGATGTGAGTTATTTAACAAATGGGTATTTGGATACGGTGATGGATTGGGTTTCAGGAATGAAAAATATTCGTTTGAAGGATCTTCCAAGTTTTATCAGAACTATAGGTCCGAATGACATAATGTTCAATTTCACCATGACTGAAGCTGAGAAAGTTCATAAAGCTTCTGCATTGATTTTGAACACATTCGATGCCCTAGAGCATGAAGTCTTGGAGGCACTTTCAACAATTTTTTTCACAGTCTACACAATTAGACCTCTCCAACTACACCTGAATCAAATCAAAGAAGATGATATGAAAACTTTTGAGTCAAATCTTTGTTAAAAAGAAGCAGGATGCCTCGAGTGGCTTGACTCTAAGGAACCCAACTCCGTGATTTTTGTGAATTTTGGCAGTGTTACAGTCATGACAAGCTAACAACTAGTTGAATTTGCTTGGGGACTTGCTAATAGCAAGCAAACATTTTTATGGGTCATTAGACCTGATCTAGTCATTGGCGAATTAGCAATTCTTCCTCTTGAAATTGTGAGTGAGACTAAAGAGAGGAGTTTTTGGCAAGTTGGTGTCCTCAAGAACAAGTGCTCAATCACCGATCCGTCAGGGGATTCTTAACACACTGCGAATGGAATTCCACCATTGAAAGTATTTGCGGTGGTGTGCCTATGTTTGTTGGCCATTTTTTGCAGAGCAACAGACTAACTGTTGGTTTTGTTGCAATCATTTGGGGATTGGGATTGAGATCGGAGGTCATGCTAAAAGAGAGGAAGTTGAGGGTCTTGTGAGAGAATTGATTGTGGGAGAGAAGGGGAAAGTGATGAAGAAGAAGGCAATGGAGTGGAAGAAGAAAGCAGAAGAGGCCACTACTTGTTCATCTGGTTCATCTTGCATGAATTTTGAGAAAATGGTCAAGCTTTTGCTTATGACCAGTGGTTCAAATTTGCAGTGTCGATTGATAGATTTTATTGAAGAATTTAATCTTCCTATAAAAAGAATTTAATATTTACCTCCTATTATTGATATTCAAGTTCGAAAAACAAGAAATTCAAATTCTTTATAGAAAGAATAATCAACGAACCCAACGACCCCAATAAGCACGAATCCGTATTACAGTCTTGATCTCAACACTCAAGAAGAACACTCAATAATAACCTCACAAATATGTATTATATGGAGGTATATAAGACAAGAGTTTACTGCCTNCGACCCCAATAAGCACGAATCCGTATTACAGTCTTGATCTCAACACTCAAGAAGAATACTCAATAATAACCTCACAAATATGTATTGTATGGAGGTATATAAGACAAGAGTTTACTGTTTATGTATATGATATCTGAATCTTATATGACTTAATAAAAAATCACAAACATGAGAACATATATAGGCAGAGACCCTTATCCAATACAGAAACTGCAAGTAACGTCCTTCCATCAAGGAGTTATAACTACTTTAAACTACTACATCATAATTACTTCATCTGATGATAGGAGTAGTGGGTAGTTACCTAAANACAGAAACTGCAAGTAACGTCCTTCCATCAAGGAGTTATAACTACTTTAAACTACTCCATGATAATCACTTCATCTGATGATGGAAGTAGTGGATAGTTACCTAAACGTCAGTTATCCAGAAGGATTTGACTCAATAAATAAGATATATATATATATATATATATATAATATTTATTTATTAAAAAGGCATGTGGGTCATTTTAAGTATCTAAATAGAGATAGACTCCAATATTAATTAAACATNGTTACCTAAACGTCAGTTACCCAGAAGGATTTGACTCAATAAATAAGATATATATATATATATATACACATAATATTTATTTATTAAAAAGATGACATGGCATGTGGGTCATTTTAAGTATCTAAATAGAGATAGAGTCCAATATTAATTAAACGTAAAATCCAACATCAATCTCATGAGTGAGATTTAAGAATAGCCTCACTTTGCATAATTACTGAAATATTGTCAAAAGTTGTGGAAGCTTTAATATCGTGAATTAGTGATGATCACGATGCTAATCAAGATTGATTTCAATGTGAATGTTTAAACTACTTTTTAAACACTTTCAGCAATCTTGCTAATTTTGGCTTGGTTTTGCTTGTAATTTTAGACTAATTGTATTTACTATTTATATATTGTAATAAACATTCTTTAGTAGTTTTGATATTCTTAATAATGGAGAAAATATTTTCTCTTGGTTCTCAATTACGTTTGTATTCTTAAAACAGGGTTTAAGTCCCAATAACTTCACTCAATCAAAATTATGGCCTAATTTGGAAAGCTAGCCTGAGATCTTAATGCATTATAACTCTTACATTAACAATGAGTTCCATTGTTGAATGAATTCCATCATCATTCCAATTATTAAAATATATTAAATCTACGAATTAAATTTGTCAAATTAAATATAAATAATATCTATAATATAAAACAGGGCTGCTTCAACAAGTCTATTCTATGTTCTCAAATTCATTCGTCCAACGGTCAAGAAATTACTTTTTCTTTCCTTAATATTTCCCCCCAACTGGTTAACGATTACGGTTAATTTTGGAGACATCCTACGATCTCAAATTCATTCATTCAAAAGTCAATAAATTATCAATTTTTCCTTAATATTTCTCTCATAATCGGTCAACGATTACAGTTGATCTTGGAATACAAGACTTTCATAAATATTATAATTAAATGAGTTAAATTTGCCATTAATATCATATGTGTAGTGTAACAATTTGAATTTTTATAAGACATAATAATAACATTTTGATTAAAAAAAACTCATTAATTTAACAAATAAAAAAAATAAGGGCGTTATTTAACACATTTATATTGAATATAATTAATTTTAATTTTATTTATTTAATTAATTATCTTAAACTAACATGACTTACATATATCCTTAATCAAAAGTTCAAGACTAATTTTTTTAAATTAATAATATATTCTTATAAATTCTTATAAATTTTGTAAATTATAGACTTTTTGTAAATTCTTATAAATTCTTATGAATTTATAAATTCTATAAATTTTGTATATAGACTTTTTTTTTGTTTTGAGTATCAAACTTGGCTGATATATTCTTATAAATTAATAATTTTGTAATAACTTGTACTAATTAAAAAAATAATATTTTTTAAATGATATTTGTAAAAAATTTTTTAATAGAACATATTTTGACGATATATTTTTTGATAAATTAGATTTGACTCAATTTTGATTACATGTATATAAATTAATATTCTTTTAAGTCAATTATATTATATTTTATGAATTTATCTATAATATAAAACAGAAAAGAGTTTAATAAGTTCATCCAACGACCACCAACATCTCTTTGAAAACCATTTAGATTAAATTTTACCTACACACACACACACACACTCTCTCTCTCTCTCTCTCTCTCTCTCTGTCTCTGTGGCAATGGGAGATAAAGGAGGGTGAGGGTTTAGGACCACCCTGATATGTGTTTTTTGAGTTATATATGTTTTATACATTTTTTTGGATATTCTTAATTGGGCCTATTGTAATAATTTATGAAAAAGAAAATTAATCGGGTCAAACAAGTTTGATACTTGAACAAAAAAAAAGTCTATATCAAATCTGTTAAAATTAGCAAACTAAAATTGATTCTTTAGAGTATTGGTATGATTTGTTGGAGCTTCCTTTAGTTCAAAAATTATGAAATCTATAGCCAAAAATGAGTAAAATATAGAATTTTTAAGAAGATTTAATATTATAGAATATTACGTTTATTTGTGTCAAATCTATAATATTAAATAAGGCAAACTTCAATAAATTAATTTGACGGTCTCAAATAGACTCATTTAACGGTCTCCAACATTCCTCTCAAAATCATTCACATTGAATTTTTACCCCTGTCAAATTCATCACTTCTTACTTTCGTTGCACCGTGCCTTCAAACACAGGTTACCCCTAGTTATTACATAAAATAAACACTACTGCATCAAAATATGCCACTAAATTTCATCTTTTACATCAAAATATGCCATTATATTTTTTTTGCAAAACGTTTGTACATATATTTAATAAAATATCTAGCACTTTGAATTTTATTCCCACATGCTTTTTTGCTCGTTTCTATCATCTCACTCATTTTTATCATAAATTGAATTATTAATTTTTGATTAATTTATTGTTCAATATAATTTTTATTTTATACATTATTCATATGTGAAAAGTATATAAATATCCATTTTTTAAAGGTCATGTATTTAAAAAAAACATTTATCAATCTTTTTTAAAAATATTATGAATAAAAATTAATTTTAAATTATACAATTAAAAAGAAAAGTATTATTTATTATATTATGATCGATTGGATGTTCAAAATTTATGTTTTTATGAATATGAGAAATTCAACTACCATATGGAGGTGGTGCCAGCTAACCCACTGTCCAAATCAGATGTGTTTAAGGCTGGTAATAGAGTAGAGTTATTCGGGTTTGACGCAAGTTCGGTTCGAACTCAAATCGTATTGTAAACGAGTCGAACTTGAATAATTTTTTGGGATTGTTTTTCTAAAAAAACCTGAAAGATTTGATTCGAATTCGTAAGGTTCGGTTCGTTTATGTGTAAAATAGTCAAACTACTTGGATTGAGACTCAACTTATTTTTTAAACAAATCAAACTTAAATAACTTTTTAAACGCTTTTTAAAAAATAAGACTGACAGGCGCAAGCTTGCCCGAAACAGCCCTAGATGGACCAAGGCCGGAGGGGGATCACTGTAAGAAATAAGTTCTTTATTTAGAAAAATTTTTTTAGGGAAATTTAAGAAATTATGGACAAAAATTATTTCCAACAAAAATGTTCTGTCAGCGTTGACCAATGCCTTGATTTTTCAAAGCCGCATAAACTGGCGATGCACACCCTATGTAATTAGGGATGACAATAATGATAAATTAACACAATATGAAATTAATCGATTAAATTAGACTAATTCCCGATGCGAAATAAAAAATGGGTTAAACTACCAACATAAATAATAAACGAGTTAGGTTATGTTGAATGCAAATAACTTGATTTTTATCCGAAAAATACATTCAGTTAGTCAATATAAAGAACATTTCAAATATTTTTTTTATAGTTTTTATTTCTTGATCTATTATTGTATGAATTCTTGTATATTTAAAAAGTATTTTACATGATTTTGTAAACATATTTGTTAAACAACTATCTAATCTAAAAGTTTAAGTTATTAGAGATGATGTAACTTAAGTATTTATTTATATAATAAAATATAAAAAATTTCAAATCTCCATATATATTAAAAATAATTTTTTATTTTTGCAGTTCAAATTTATCCAAATTTTAATCCGAAAACTAATATTAATCAACCAATTTTTAGATTATGGAATATCTACCCAGCTTATTATCTACCAGGAGGGACTATGGAATACTGGGAGGTTAGGGATCCTACTAACTATCCTTTTTCAACCTTGTTTAAGTTTGTCAAGCCATATATGAATTCGGAAATTTGGAGGATGAATTTTGACCTAAATTTGCCACACGATGAAAATCATGTGATGCAAAATCGGATGCATCGCCCATGCAAACACAAGGGCTACATTATAACTAAACTCTGAGATGGGTGATAAAATTAAATCTTGACGGTTTAGTTTTCATCATGGATAGATAATCCAAAGGTGAAGTTTGACACAAATTAAGAGGATTCATCGGTAGGATTGAATCAATTATAGACAGATCAATATTTAATGCCCTTGCAAATTAATTAGTCTGGGATTCCTCCTACAGATCTAGTCCTCATCTCAAAGGCCTACCTGGTTTGTGTGGTCTAGGCCTATTTTCATTTGCATTTGTTTGTACCTAGTGAACTACCATTGAGGGTTGCCCAAAAAAAATAATAAAAAAACCTATGTTTAGGTTACCGGTTGGCCAAATGGTCACCACCCCCGTTGTTAAACTTTAAGGTCACGGATTTGAATCTCGTCGTCCCTTTCCTTGT